TGAAGAACATCCGAAGGCCAGAGAGAGAAATGATACATGGGGGAAGCCAAGAAACCCGAAACCCCTAGGATCAGCCACAGGGAAAGGTTGGGACTGTGAAATCCTTCCTGAGCAGCCAAACTAACAAGAAGTCTTTCAATTGCTCACACCCAAAGTGCAAATGCTCCAAAATATTGAATTCTTCAAGATCCTTTAAGAAGACTCAACTCTATCACTTCTTCATTAATCAATCAATGAATTCATCATTATGCAACTTCTCAATTATTCAACTCTTACCCTGAACTACTAGGAGGGACATGAACTGATACGAACATTGGAAATATCTTAGTCAATCGCGTTGGTACACATCCCTGGCCTTGTGGAGCCTCAGTAGTCTTCCTTGACTTTACCCCTTTAGTGTTTTCATGAAATGTTGTCCAGGCTGGACTTACAACTACCAGGTTGTTTTTATTTATTATGGCTTATGAATGCCAGCTGAGACATTGCAGGAAAGAACTGGTTTCACGTTGGCTTGTCTGAACAGGTGTCTAGTACTACTACTTTCATTTTGGGCCAGTACCTTGAATCTCCTAATTATTTCAGTAATGTTTGTTGTTACCCATGTAAAGTAAATGTGAAGTCTGAGGGGGCAAACACAACTACAAAACCAAATGTTTAAGACACTTGCTCTGAGGAATTATGTTTTCAATATGTTGGTCCCTTCCCCTTTGTAAACATTTATGACTGTTTAAGAGGAAGTCTAATTTAAGTTTGTTTGACTTAAAGTGACTAAATTGTAAATTCATGTTTAAAGTATGATATGTATCAAACTACCATTTGATTAGGCCATTGCTTAAAATTTCTTACTTTTTTGACTTTTTGAGCACAATCTGAAAGAAGAATAGAACTACATGTAGTGTAGAGCACAATAAAAAGAAATAGCTTTGGGCTGTGGGGGTGCAAAAACAGCTGAGAAAATCCTTAGAAGTCAAAATGAAAGAAAAAATTCTTATTTGGAGAACATGCAACATCATGATTTGGAGAGAAGAGTAAGAGACAAAGATTGTCTCTTCCTATCTGATAGGCCTTATCAGTGATAGTTATTTAAGAAAATGTCAAATATAGTCTCATCACGTTATCAGATGATGAACCTATTTGTAACTTAAATTTCCCATCTTTGATATGATAGATACAGCTTAGTCAATTACCAAAATCCTGTTCATATAGCACTTAGTGAAGTTAATAAAAAAA